GGGGGGGGGGGGGGGGGGGGGGGGGGGGGGGGGGGGGGGGGGGGGGGGGGGGGGGGGGTTACAAGCGAGCTCCAGAGGTGCTAACTTGTAGGGGGTCTGGAGATATTTTTAAAATTATTATTTTATGTATTTTTTTTTTTAAATTGGGGGCTAAAGCCCCCCAATCTCCCGGCTCCGCCCTCCCCGTTCACGAATATGATTATAATAGCATGTTTACAAATAAGCGATTCCCTGTTTCAAAGTCGTCAGGTCCTCGGCCTCATCTATGCTGTAGGTACGTAATTCGTGCATATTTGTTCAAGGAGTAAACTTTAAACTCGTGAAATTATTTGATCAGGTCAGACAGAAGTTATGACTCATTACCAATATTTCAGGGAAGGTCACAAATATTTCTGAACAAGTCTGTCGAAGATCGCCGTTTCCTGTGTTTCACGGTAGAGTTTTCAGTTAATTCTTTCAATAATCTTTTTTTCCACTGCGCTGAAGTGCTCAACTAAATTAGTGCAGGATAAAGTTTGGAACTAGTTTTCCTGTCTAGAATAATATTCAATTTAAGCCCACGACTTTGACGACTGCGACAACTACACAGTGCCAGGGGAAATAGTCAGAACTCAGAAAACAAGCTTGAGCGCGCGCATGAAAACTAAAAGCAGTTGTCATCATGGTAACATGACATCACAATGAAAGGAAAGAAAACTTGAGATTTCATCTGAAAGTTTTGTCGTAATTCATTATGAGTTCGGTTATGAAAAAATTACGGAATAAACGATCCAAGAGAGACGAATTTCAAATCACGGCATCTGCGTCGGCGCTCGTTTTGCAATGCCAGAAGGAAAAATGGTAAGTTGTGCAATTAGAAGATTTTCAACTTTTTTTCTCAATTTGTCCACAATTACGGCCTGCTAGGGTGGTAGTCTGTAAAGATGTTCTTTAACTACTGTGATACGGCGGCGAATAGTCTACAATCTATTACAGCAGAAAATGTAATAACAAGTTGCAGGTCCATTGGATCGGAAGCGTAAGGCACGTGATTTTGAGTGAATTTTCGTAGCACTTTTTACGCGCGAATGCCGCATCGAAACAAGCGTTTTACTAGTCAATATTTTTCTGCTATTGCACTAAACGCGAGATGCACAGGATCACAGAGGGTATTCAATATGCTAGAGAATACGACTCTACAAAGAAAGTTCGTGCTGGCGAGTGTTTACTTTTACTTTTGGAAAAAAAATTTGTTTTAAACTTATTAGTAGAAACAAAGCAAGTTACTGTAGGGAGAGATCGGAGAGTATCAGTTTGTCTCTCGTTACCAGGCCTCGCAGAGAAAATGCAATATGGCGGAAGGGCGCGATGCCATGCTATTCCAAAATGAAAATCAATGCAAGTTTATTCATTAGTTCTAACTTATGTGTTTGTTCACCAGGCATCCCTGCAAACTTGCGATAGTTTGGAATAAGGAAAATCGGAAATTGTCCAGTACAACGGTAAGCTTGGTCGTATGTAAGTTACTGTTGTACCGTTGGTGTTTTCAGGCGGCTATTTAATACACGAATTAATGGCGAAATGACGAAATGTCGCTACGGTCAGGAAATGGCGCTCCGGTTAGCCTAAATAGCGCACCGATCAGCTCAAAATAGCATTCACGTTTGTAGCCAAAATATCACCGACCTGAAGGTGGTTAACTCTCAATATAGGTTAACCATATTCCATTTCGTCATTTCGCCATTTCGTTCTTTTACAGACGCCCGGTTTAATGCACGTTGGTCTGCAAGTGGATTGTGAGCTTAA